TCTTACGTCAAAGTATTCATTTAAAATGGCGTCTTCTTCAATCAGTTTATTTCTTGTATTTTTTTCAAATGATTTGCGACCTTTCCAACTTCTAAAAATACTTAAAACTTTAGCACCTTGTGTGTTACTGAGACCACATGCATTTTTTAATTTGTTCACTTCACTTGTATGTATCGGTGAATCAGTAAACAAAGCTTTAGAAGAAGTTTTTGGTCTTTGTGTACTAATTGAAGTTCTGCATGTTGCAACCTTGATTAAATTGCCTTGTTTTTCAAACTTTTGTTTAAGTGTTTTTGAACATTGCAATTTGGCACCTCTATCGTCTAAATAAAAATCTACAATATAAAATTTGTAATTACTTTGGAATTATTATTATAATTTAGTTTTAATAGGAACTTAATAATGAAAATAATATTTTTTTACCTTTATCTAGTTGCTTCATTAGGTTTTCCCTTCGCTTTGTAATACAACAGATGTGGGCTAATACTGGTCCAATAACATTTAGACATCTTTTACAAACTTTAACTGGTCCAGGAGAGGGTAAAACTTTCATGTTGAGTTTTGGTCTTCTTCTTTTTTCTATATTTGATCCACGTGTTAAATTACACCTAGCAGTAAGGCAAATATATCATTGGCAAAACTGTTGGTTTCTAGTTAGAATCGTTACTTTGATCTTAAATCAAATGGTTTATATAAAACTATATTGGTGTTACCTTTTTCCATTTTTACTAAATTAGTTCGACATCCACAAATTCCATTTGGAAAACGGTTATCATTTAAATTAATATTGTCAATGTAATATTTTTTAATTCTCAATAAAACTACACTTCCTTCTTGTATTTTACTTAAATTTTTTCCTTTTCCAAAGCAAATTAAACAAACTTTACTCCTACTTTGACTGTGACTTAGCCTTGAATATGGCATTTCAAAGGTGAAATAATAAATAATATTTAAATTTTCAAAGCACAACTAACGATATTACAAACGCAACGTGTAACAAACCACAAATTACAATAATGCATAAAAATCAAAACTCGTTAAAACTAAAATTGGTTTTTAATTAACAAATTTCAAATATTATAGCAATAAAGAATGATTTTGAGGGTTATTTAAATTGACGTAATACAAATTAAAACAGTAGTTTGTAAAAGTAAAACATGTAACATTTTATAAACTCGCTTTGGTAAAACATACAAAAGAATATTTAAAAAATTCTATATATAAATTATTGTAAAAAGTTAGTTTGTAAAATATGAAACAGTTATTATTAACTTGTAATGTTAAATACCACTAAAAACTACAACAAAAAACTAAAATCTTCTTTTTATTTGTGTCCCAGTGATCGGGCCCAATCATATTTAAACTCTAAGAACACGCCCCTAACGTAACGCCCTTGAAAAGTTTATGAATTTTTTTTTCTTTTCATATTTATTAGAATCAAAATTTAATTTATTTCAATAAAAAAAATTTTTTTTTTTTTTTTCTGAAACCATACATGGGACACAAGGACCCAAATTTTAGGTTTAATATTGTTTCCAGTCTCCGATTGTCGCAATTTTTTCTAAAACATTCTTATTTTTCATTAGTATGATTATTACAAAATTTTATGAAAGCACCATTTCTGGAAGTTTTAAGAATCTTAAACACTAAAAATTCTGGACCAGCTTGTTTAACCCCCTTGTATTTTTTTAGATATCGACAGAATATTTTCAAAATCTAGGTCATAACAGAACAAGGTACGGTGGTTTTGAAAATTTAATCCGCTTCTGGTATACTTTTTTTTTCGTAAGAAATATTTCCACTAGGGTGTGCCACTTTTATATTGAGTTTCTTATTTACCTTACTTTTTACCTTCTCCGCACCGCTTTTGCGTTTACAGTTTGTAGGTTTCAATTTAATATTGTTCTAAACTGTATTTATTTTTTCAATTAGTGTTAATTATTTCAACCAACAAAGAAGAGTTTTTGGATTAATATAATAACTATTTTTTGATTTAGAAAAATATAATAACTTTGATAATAGGGACGTCACCATTTTTTAGCCAATTTTTGACCTCCTCCCCCCCACCTTTGTCATCGGTTGTCCTTTTTTCCTATACCTCCCTTGAAAAAGACGTCATAAAATCCTGAACCCCCCCCCCCCTATTTTTAACTCCAAAAAAATTTATTTCATCTCGCAATGATGTTTGAATCTGCTGCTACACCTTTGAAAAATAAAATTAAAAATATTCTCATATATTATCTTCCTAAAAACACATGTTTACGTAGTTTTCCATGTTAATTAAACTAAAATAAAAAATCTATAAAGTGACGTCCTTTTCTGACAACCTCCGCCCTCCCCTTGTCCTTTTTTGTCCTTTTTAACTCGATCCCCTCCCCCCCCCCCCCTATTTGGATGACGTTCTTTATGGATGGCCCCATATGACTTTTCACAAAAAAAAAAAAAAATGAAAAATTTGTAGCACAACTCACAAACCAATTAAATAAACTAAGAAGGCAACAAGCTTTAAAAATTTCATGAAATCTGACCGCTGAAATTACTATTATCATTTCCTTATTCACATAAGGAAACATCTTATTGAATATCACAGGACTAAATTAAGTAGTATATAAATGCCGTTTGAGAGTTAATTTTTCTAACTTTATTGCATTATGAATGGGAAATCAATTTTTAAATTTATTGTTTGGAAATTTTCGAGAACCAGTTTTAACTCGTTGTCGTTTTTCTTTATTTTTTTACCTTCATTTTTTGACGCTTGATTGCGGCAATTAGACGTGATTGTTAAATTAAAAAAAAAAAAATAGTTTCCAGCCGCCTGACTCGTCCAACTTATAGTTAATTTAAAAAAATCTGAATTCAGCAGCTAAGTTTTTAGAAATGGTCTGTATTGATATAGTGCCACATATTATTTTATTATTGTCCAGTTTTATGATTGTCCACTTCAACTCTCATCCAAGATTATTTAATGGCGAGTACTCAATTTAATTGTCTGTGTTCTGTCTTTCACGATTGGATCCTTCGGTACCGTACCATTCTACCGATACTTCCGAATCTTATTAAAGTCTGATCTATCCCATCAGTTTTTTTTTTTTAAAGTTACGTTCTAAATGTGTTTTAAACGTCTTATAAACGTCTTTTAAACATTAATGTTTAAAAGACGTTTAAAAGACATTTAAAATACCTTTAGATCGTAACTTTTAAAAACAAATGCTCGTCGGGATAATTGGAAAGAAAAAGTTCATCACTTTGACAAATGTTTCTAAAAATTCACTCAAGAAAGCAGCAATAAAACTTTCCTCTTACACAGTTCAAAGCTTTATTTTGAAATTCAACTTCCGAAATGCTATACTTCGAAATGAGTACTTGCAAAATAAATATTGATGATTTTAAATGTTTTGTTTTATTTGATATGAAAATAATTCCTTTTAAAAGATTTTTTTTTACCAAAAATTAACAAAACCCTCCGGTTAACAACTTTAGTATATATAGTGTTTACGTATATCAATTTTTAATATACTAAGTTTTTATATATAGAGTTTAAATATATTCATAATTTTATATAGTTAGTACGAATAAATGCTCAACTATAAATCTCTTTCCTATTCAACATGGTATAACCATCAATTTTTTTTTTACGTACTCAAAAAATTTCTTCCTATTACATTTAAAACTTATAGCTTAAGAATCACCCCTGGCTTAACGTAACTCAGCACAAACTGGAGATCAAAAAGAATTTAGTTGTTTTAGCCATAAACTTTTGATAGAATTTTTGAGGGATGAATGAATAAGTATAAATATCATAAGTGCGAACTTGCATAAGTGAGAATTGGCAGTTGCAAAAAGTGACATAAGTGCGAACTGGTATAAGTGCACCAAAAAAATTTGCAAACATTGGCATAAGTGTGAATTGGCATAAGTGAGAATTTTCATAAGTGCTAATCAGCTACAAAAACTGGCACAAATGCGAAGTAGCATAAGTATGAACTGCTATAGGCGCACTAAAAGAATTTGTAAACATTGGCATAAGTACAATTTGGCATAAGTGCAAATTGGTCAAAAGGCAAAATGCACTTATGTTTTTGCAATACTTATTTGCAATTTTATTCGGCTCACTTAAGCCAATTCGCACTTATGCCAGTTTTTGCAATTGCTTCACACTAAAGCCAGTTTACACTTATGCCAGTTCACACTTATGCCAATATTTGAAAATTCTTTTGTCGCGTTTATCCCAGTTTACACTTATGCCAGTTTTTGTAACTGGTTCGCACTTATGCCAATTTGCACTTATGTCAATATTTGCAAACTATTTTGGCGCACTTCTGCAAGTTCACAATTGTGCCGATATTTACAACTGCTTTGCACTTATGCCAGTTTACACTTATGAAATTCGCTCTTATTCGGCCTTCTGATTTTTGATTATAGAAATAACCGTTTTTGTAGCAGATGGCTGAAGAAATAAAGATCGTTTTTATGGATACACTTTTTTTTTATATCTCTGTTCATATAGAGGATTTGCATTCTTTTTGCATATTGATCACAAATATTATTAAGTATTAAGAATAATCGAAATACCATTGACTCCTTGATCATATTATTAACCTGAGCTTTTCTATTATAAAAGATTTAGTTTGTTTTCAAAAAATTGTTTCATACTGAAATATCTTAGAGAGTGTGTGATTAGCAAATTCAGTAATCAATAAATAAAACATCTTCAAACTTTGATGACGATAAATTTTTATAAAGAAACTCATAAAATTAAGAATAAAATTTTCAGCAAAGCTTATGTATTTTGAAACAAGAACTGCTTTTTTTAGGTCATTATTTTAGATCGTAATTAGTTTTGAGAACGAAAGTAAAATATATATATTTAAAAATATTTTATGAATTTTGATTATTTTAAACTAAATTCTGATATTTTTTTATCACGTTTTTTTTTTTAATTAAACAACTAAAATATTAAAAATTTTAAATTAATTTTTGACTTAAACATATCAACTCACCATTTTGCGCCATTAGATTTATTTGGTCAATCTAAAACAGAAAATAAAGGAATAGCCGTGCTATCAAAGGTTTGTTTTCAAATATTTTTTATTTCCAAAATAAAAAAAAAACTTCAATAAATAGTTAAAAATTTAATTATATATTTATATATTTTCTTCTTCAAATCTCTTACAACATACCGTTGCACTATCAAAGAGTTTTGAAAATTTTTGATTTATGCCAAAAGACTTCTATATTCTTTTGAGATTAATCAACTTTTTGTACGAAGTTTTTATTTATTTTTTGCAATTTTTAAATTTAACCAATTTTATTTTTATTTTATATTGCTAAAACATGTAAATAATTTTCTCAACAACAGCATCAATAGGCTCTCAACGAGTAACCATATACCCAGTGGGTACTAGTAAGTGACAGGGGTCCCGGCCCCGGTCCCGGCTAAAAACAGAGTTTTTTGCAAACCCGGCCCCGGGTTACTAGTCGGGGCTGCATTTTTTTTTATAATTTAATTCTTTTTTTCAATTTTTTTCTAGTTAATATTATTTATGAAAGTTTTAAAAAATCTAAGAATAAGTCAAAAAAATAATATATATAAATATAATATAATTTATAAAATTTACAATAGCAAATAAGAAATAAGAAATTCTATAAAACTTTAAGCTTCTTCCTCTGATTCTGATGATTCAGAAAAGTCAGGGAAATTTAAATTTATATCAAAAAGTCAGGGAAAGTCATGTATTTTAATAAATGTAATTTAATAAATTTTACAATAGTTAGGAAAAAGTTCAAACATTATAGCACATGTTTTTGCCTCATCAGGTCTAACTTAACATAACTTTTTTTAAATCTTAACTTTAGAAAGATTTTACGATAAAAAATCCGGAAACTATTTAAAATAAAATATTTAGGGAAAAGTCAGGGAAAATGAAATACAGGCTAATACAGGCTACCCTGTATTATTATTAGTTTATTTTCCTTGTTAAAACTCAAAATAAAATTTTATTTTAAAAATTAATATTTTTGAAAAAAGTAATCTGATTAAACGTTTTTGTAGAGTTTCTAAACAATGGGTTCACATAATGTATAGCCTAACAGAAAGTTACTCTTCTTTTATTGTTATATTATTGGTTTTGAATAAAGAAAGTTCACTCATGGTATCAAGCCCGAATGAAGATTGTAATATATTGTGCTGGAAAGACGGATTGTTTTAGGAAGTTTTGTTATCTTGGAAATCCAATTAGATCAGTTGGTGGAGCAGAAGAGTCATTAGGAGCAATAGTAGGAGAAGATGATGATGATGATGATAATGATGATGATAATGATGATGATGATGATGATGATGATGATGATGATGATGATGATGATGATAATGATAATAATGATAAAAATAATATATTTATATGGTTTATCAATATTAATGCAGCTTCTAAACCTGGCCCCGGCCCCGACTAAGTTTTATTAAACCCGGCCCCGGTCAAATATCAACCCCGGTCACTTACTAGTGGGTATGGTACGTTTTTTAATGTTCTTAAACATAATAAAAACGTTAAAATACGTTTTAAAACGTTCTAAATATATAATATAAAATAAACCAAAAAGATAAAAAAAGTACCTTGTTTTTCTTCTTGTATGAGGACAATATAATAAATACAACAATAATAGATATGCATATTACAATGATCGGCACTACAACAGCAATAATGATGTAAGAACGATTATCTGTACAATCTAATGGTGGTGGTGGTGTAAAAGGTGGTCTATATTGCTTTATTTGGTCAGTACTATTATAAACTCTAAATGAGTTCTGCATAGCATTGTACGAATTATTTTGAGAATCTAAAATATTCAACAATCCTTTAACAATTGACTCGTTTATGTAATCTTTATACTTCTCCAAAATGAACGGTAATCCATAAACCTCAACAAGAACAACTAGGCTTCCTATATTGAATAGATTATATTTTTTTAATATTAAATATATATTTAAAACCTCAAAAAACTTTTTTGAAAAATTAAAATTAACCTGGATGAATGGTGCAATATTCTGTAGTCTGATTGAATGGATAATATGAAGCAGTAGTATCCCAAAATTTACAAAAACTATTCTTTGTTTTGCTTAATCCACCAAAAATAGAAACAACATCTGTAAAATTTACTTGGTATTTTAATTTGAAAAAGTTGCTGATGTTTTGTATGACAGATACTGTAGGAGTATTGAATGTAGAATAATTTTGTGATAACGAATAAGAGATTCCAACGACGTTGTTAATAGATGGGCTAGAGTTTATAGAAACCATATTTACCGAAAACGGTGTTGAACTTGTTGAGACATCTAAAGCCAGTACGTTCTCTGCTATTATCCATGTCAAATCTAAATTGTTTTTTTATTATTATTATTTAAATTCTTTAAAGTACGTATAAGCAAAAGCATATTGTTTACAGAGACCAAAAAGACGCTGTCTCACCTACATATATTTTAAGTAGAAGGTGAGCTGCCCTGTCTACCAATACATAAGGGTAACGTATGGAATTTGTCCGGTAATCTGGTATGAGATACATAGGGGATTTTTTGGTGGGATCTGTCTGGGGCACGTATGGGTAAACAATAAAAAAAAACAACGAGTAACATAAAATAATATCCGAGAAATTTTTTTTTAATAAAAATGGTTGTTCGCGTTGCGATACGTTATTTATTTAGTTACGTATTTATGAATTATTTGTAATTATAGTTAATTTTTTATTTGACGTTTTCATTTGTTAATATTTATCTATAAATTATTTTTAGTTTATGTATCATAAAAATGTTTGATGAAAATTTTGTCCGTATTTTCTATTTGTTTTTCAGATTGCTGAAGTTTTAATGTTCTAAAGTTTCAAGTTTCTAAAGAAAATGGAAACAACTGCATTGCAACAGACAGCTAAGTTTATTTACATAAAAGTATTCTTGCTAGAAATGATTCAAATGACTCTTAAGCTTTTGTTGTTTATGTAAAGCGCAAGCGTTGAGCGTAAGCGCAAGCGTTGAGCGTAAGAAATTTTTTACAGAGCCACTTGACTCATCTTTACTGTCCGTTTTCTACGTTGAAAAACTTTCATATTTTGTGAAAGTTTATTCTTAGATAAAATTAAGAACTAAATGTTTTCTGCTGCGACATGAAAATGGTTTGTTAGAATTCCTCAAATGCATTTTTGCTAAAGTTAATTTTGGGTATAAAAAATCGAGTTTTAATTAAATCATTTAATTTAATACATAAAACATTTAATAAATACATAAGACATTTAATAAATGGCTTACGTATTAATGTAAACAGTTTCATATTTATAAGGTATTTAACAATATTCATGTTTTATTTGGTATTATTACAATTTTGTTTTGAAGTTTGTTCTTCTCTTATTTCGATTTTTAAGTTATTATTGCTTACTTTATTTTAATAATTCAAATTACTGTAAAAAAAAAAATTATTAAGTAAAACTTTACTTCTAAAAACTTTAATTATTTGTATTTAATAAAAAATACATTACTATTATAATAAAAAGTTTAAAAACATTTCTTATGACATAACTTATAAAAAAAAACATTTTTTTTGTTTGTTTTCGTTTGAAAGTTTAGTCTTTTGTAAACATAAAAAATAATAAATAATCCTTACACAGCAAAATCCAAGATTCTAGGTTAAGAACTTTTGTTCTTATTTTAAGAACTTGATTTTTATTTTAAGAACTTGATTCTTATTTTAAGAACCTGATTCTTATTTTAAGAACTTGATTCTTGTTTTAAGAACTTGATTTTTATTTTAGATTTCCATTCTTATTTAAAGATATTTCAATAAAAAACATTGTTCCTAATTTGATAATGTTGTAACATTTGTATATAATATGTATATATATATATATATATATTATATATATATATATATATATATATATATATATATATATATATATATATACATATATATATATGTATATATATATATATATATATATATATATATATATATATATATATATATATATATATATATATATATATATATATATATATATATATATATATCAATAGATACCTGCAGGTATACCTAAAAAAATTAAAGAATTCAGAAAAATAAAAGCCACTGAATTTCCCCTTCTGATAATCCTCCCCACCCTCTGATAGACCTTATGTTCATGATTTTATATATTTTAATAATCTAATTTATTTGATCGCCATTAAGACTAAAATACAAACCAGAAAGAGTCGCATACTACGAGAATTTTATAGAATTCACCTTTAATAAATACAATATATTTTTTTTTTTTTAGGTAAGAAATCCTTGCGGTCTTATCACAAAGCACCGCGGAAGAGCATTTAATAGGAAGTATACGCCTCCTTCCCAACCGATGTCACAAAACTGGGTTTGAACCACGAATCTCATGTTTCTGAGGCAAGTGCGCTACCACTGCACCACGGCTGCAATATATTCATATCTGCGAATCTGCATTAATCTAAACAGTATAAATGTGAATCTTTTGTATCGGCGACGTAGTAGAAGAATAATATAGATGTAAGGTGCAAGCAGGGCCTGATCTTCCACAAAGCACGTAAGGCCCGAGCCTAGGGCCCCAAAAATTTTTGGGGCCCCTAATTTTTAGCTTTTAATAATTTTTTAGCTCATCCGAACTTTTCTGACGTAACAGTAGAATTTAAAAATATTTATTTCAATTAAAAAATTTTTAGGTAAAAAAGAACTAAAATGATTTAAAGATGATTTGCTTGGATTTAACATTTCCGCTTCGAAGTACGCCTTTTGTCGCTTTTCTCGCTGATCTGAAGTACGCCTTTTGGCGTTTTTAAATATACCTCTGTCTTACACAAAATCTCAAAAACATTAGGCCGGGTGAATAAAAACAAGCAATCGCTTTTACTCAGTAATTGGTCAGTTTTACGTGAAAAAAAGCTTAAGTAGTTTTACATAAGTTTTGACTCGCGTAAAGCTGACCAATTACTGAGTAAAAGCAATTGCTCATTTTTATTCACCCGGCCTAATATGTTGTGTTGCATTTCTGAATTAAAATTATGAACATATGGTCCACAACAGTCCGGAAAAACTACGGCCAAATGTTAAAAAGCATAAAGTCGCCAATTAATTGGCGACCTTTATAAGTCATAGTTTTTATGCTTTTTTAAGTTATTTATTTTCAAGTTATTATTTATTAATTAATTAACTGAATCAGAAATTCAGAACTTCATAAATGAGCTGGAAAACAGTGAAAATGAAGATTATGAAGATGATTTATGGCATTAATGTCTATCAAAAGCGAAGTTACAAAAAGTCTAGATTTTGAAGAGATTCTGAATCAATTTATGTGTGAAAAATCAAAGAAAAAATATACTAATTTGGATACATGTAAGTTTTAGCTGTCTAAATTTATTTCATACTTTCTTAATTGTTTCTTGTAACCACAGAAGTACTTAAATCTTTAAGTGAACTTACATATGAATCTCTAACTTGAAAAAAGGGACATGTCCTGCAAAAATTCACATAACATGTCCCCTTTTTCAAGTTAGGCTTACTTGTTTTAATAAAAAATAACGTTACCATGGAAAATTAAATTCTAGTTCAAACTTTTGAAATGTATAGAAATATTAAATGAGCAATAAATATAATTAAGCAGAATATATGAATCGCTAACTGTTAGCGATTCATAATATCTAATAATATCTAATCTAAAAACAATTTTTTTTATTTAATATTTAAATTAATTTACTTTTTTTTTTCTTTTTTTTTTGTTCTTTTATTACATGTAAAATAAGCATTTCGTTACAATATTTCAAATACAAATATATAATAATAAATTTATATATAAATATAATGGTCGTTATTAGAAAATAAAAGAACGCGGGGACTCGTAGAAGACCATACGGTCTTGTCGTCGAGTACCGCTAAGAAATATTCGTGTTAAAATTTAAAAGTTAATTACAAGATTAAAAATAAAAATAAGTTAACAAAGTTAGAAACTTAAAATACTCCATAATAAATACAAGATGCGTTATATCTATTATATATGTAAATTATAGTTGTTAAGGATACACATATACTTTTTATAAGTTCATGTTTAAATAAATGGTAAAAATAAAGATCACAAAAAATATCAGAAGTATATTGTTAAATCATCGATTGTAAAAATGAGTTCTTTAAGCTTTTGTTTAAAAGAAAAGTAGTTACTTTGATTAATAAAATCCTCAATTCCATAAGAATGGTCCGCGATAATCAATACAAAATTTAAAAAGATTTGTTTGAAAATTGGGCTGCTTAATAAAATTATTATTGCGTAAAATGTATTTATTTTTATCTTTTGATGAATACAAATTATGGAAAGAAATCGGGGATGAATTGGTTTTACATTTAAACATAAAACAAAGAATATTAAAAATATTAATCTCATATATATTAAAAACTTTCATTTCAAATAAAAGAGGCTTGGCATGAGTATAACGGTCTTTAAAATATATAAGACGTGCTACATGCTTCTGCTGACAATAAAGAGGTTTAAGTTTGTTTTTATTTGCACTACCCCAAGCAATGTTTGCATAGTTTATGTGGCAATGAATAAATGAGTGATATAATTGTACTAAAGTTTGTTTATTTCCCAGTGGGCACCCGACGTCAATCCGACGTCGGGTTTACGTACGATTTTCATCAGCGATGTCAAAAGACCTATTCCGACGTTGTTCCGATGTCAGTAAAATGACGTCGGGCGATGTCTTTATCTCAACATCCCCTGACGTCGTTTCGATGTATTTTGACGTTGTTTCGACATCTTATAAAAGACGTCCAAAAAACGTCGCAGTACTGACATCGATCCAACGTCGATAAAAAGACGTCGGGCAACGTCATAATATTAACGTACTCCGATGTCTTTTGACGTCTTCCGACGTCAATCCAACGTCCTTAAAACGACGTCGGAACAACGTCGTAAGACATCGCTGATGAAAATTTAATCCAAACCCAACAATATGTGTGCAATTGCGCTCTTCAATAATTATGTGAACTAAGCGTGTTTTTTTATTAATGGAAAAAAGTTTGAATAATGGTTGTTAAAACATCATGAGGTTTTGTATGATCCACTAGCATAGTTTTTTAACTATTAACATTTTCGAGTATACATTTTTTATAATATATAACTATTCGTTTTAATATTTATATAATATTTAAACAAAAAGTTGTATACAAGTAATAATTCCCAAATAACTACAAGTATAGATTACTAAATAAACACATAAATTAATATGTCTCTATGGTGTAGTGGAAAGCGCGCAGGATATAGTATCCAACAGATCGAGGTTCGATTCCTGCCATAAGCAACGTTTTTTAGTTTTCAAAAAACACGTTG